CCCAAAGGACACACTCACATTGGCGGAGACAGAAACCACTCTGTGGGAGGAGGTCCAAATAAAAGTAATTCGGAATGAAACATAGTCAGAGGTAGTCGCAGCCATACCGTCTATACCAGGGCATTGGTGTTTTATTGATGGTTCATTGAAAGATAAGGATGTGTTTGATGGACATGGTTGGTATAGTACCCTTGAAGTTTTTGTGGGTTTAATGGGAGAAAGAAATGTTAGAGCTAGCCTCTCACCTCTTTATTCTAAGGTGGAAGCGCTTATCTGGGCAATGGAGAGTATGAGGAATTTGCGTCAATATCATGTTACGTTTGCAACAGATTGTTCTCAATTGGTGAAGATGGTTTCGGAACCAGATGAATGGCTAGCTTTTGCAAATTATTTGGAAGATATCAAGACGCTTAAAGGGAGTTTCCACAGCTCGGCAATCATCTATGTACCAAGGACACTGAATTCACGGACGAACAGTCTAGCATGCAGTGTGAAAAAACAATCGTCTTTCGTTGTTCACATCAAAACTACCAATTTGATTCGCAGAGTCCATATGAGTTTGTTTGTCGATGTCAAAAAAAAAATATTAAGAAAAGTTGTTGACTTAGATATACTTGTAATTTTTAGGATAATGGTAGAAATTGGAAAATACCTAGAAGCAATGCAAAAGAAAGTTGGTTATGCATGTAATGAGATAAACATGCTAAAGATGCTTTCCAAATCTATGAGATTTGTTATTATCTTATGTACCTTTTCGTAGTTACCTAAGGATCGTTTATGTCGTATATATACACTAGCCATGATCAATGAATAAACACACACATTCATAAACTATTTCATAGTATCAGAGCTAGGTTTAAGAAACCACACACATTCATATTATGTTATTTTGAAATAGTAAGAAGGTGTTCCGTAATATATTCTTTGCACAAAGACTGTTCATAAGTCTAACTTTTTTTCTTTTTTTTTTTGAAACAAAGTCTAATATTTACAGTATTTTTTTATAGTAAATTATGAGATTTGAATGTTGGTCTCAGTCAAAAATGTATTCCAGTATATGACAAGATATCAGGAATGGAATTGTGATCAAATTGACTAACTTTTACTTAAATATTTTACATGTTTTTACTTAAAAGTAAAAAGAGAAATCAAGTGAATTTATGTGAAAATAGATCCAATAAATAGAATTTGGAAGTACTATTTATGAATCATATATAAGTTTCACTCTTTGTTCATTTGTTAGTTTGAAAATTTAATTTTAAACCATAAAATAAATTTTTATTTTATCTATTAATCTACATAATTAAAAAGGAATCTATAGTTTATTTTTTAAATGAATTAACCACACAATAAGAGCTTCAATCCTATTATCTCAAACTGAAATCATGTTACTTAATTAGTTTTTGATTACATAAATCAATGATTATTGCATCTAATTTCATAATTTACTTATTTTCATTCAATTAGTAACATTATTATAGTGTAGATGTTCTTTTATGAATGTAGCCAGCTGCACAAAACTAACCAATACCAACATAATGCATACAGACTTACAAATCATGAAGATATTAGTGGATCAATTCCCCCATCCTCTAGCAATCTTAAAATCCAGTGGTTGAAATATTGGTGGAAAGCTGTTTGGCCATAAGGTATAACATGCCGATACCAAAAATGTCAAAATTAAATACTCAACTATGTATAATACCCGAAAATATCAAAATTAATATCAATATCGGTGGAAAGCTGTTTTCCCAATATCAAAATTATTAGGAAAAGGGGAATACAATAATTTTCATAATCACAATTATGTATAATTTACAATTCATTGACCACTCAAAAAACTAATGTTTCTTCGTGTTTTTTTTTTTGTTTCTGTTTGTTTCAAAAAATAAAGAAAATTAAATTAAAAATTATAACTCAATTGAAAATGTATTAACAAGAAAATTATAATAATTTCAATTATGTATAATTTATAACTCATTAGGGTTAATTAATTTTATACCTGACTAATTGAAAAATTTATGTGAGAGTGACAACTAAAAAAGTGATTTAAAAATAATATTAGAGATTGTTTGTAGTCCATCTCTATTATTAAAATAGAAATACTGTTATAAAATACTCCTCACTTTTTTTAATTATTTGCAATAGTATGTCATTGAAGTTATTAATTAGCATATCTTATAGGATCCTTTGTCTTTTCTCTTTAATTAATGCATTTCTAAAATAAAATTCTAACTAAAAAATCAAGACAACCATAATTAATGAAAATAATTAATTCATATATAAATTTTGTAATTAAATACATAAATTATATGGTAATTATTTTATTAATTCCATATACATAATAACTAATTCCATATTAATTAACCTACCTTTTAGGACTTTTTCTTATTAATTATCTACCTATCTTTAAATAGTTAATGACAATATTGTTTCAAAGATATATAATTATATTTTTATTATTTATAAGTAATAACTAAAATAAAAGTCACAAAAATATATTTATATAATACATAGACTAATATAAATATATTATGTTACGTATATTTTCATATAAATAATTGTCTAGGGTAAATTCAATATAATGAATGTTAAAAAGTAGAAATGTATAGGACCATATATTTTAAATAGTATATACAGCAATTTAGTCATAAATTATCATAAATTTTGATCCATAAAAATAAAAATACATTTGTCCAGATATACAAGTCATATTTTAAAAGTAAAGATGAAACAATTGATGGTTTTACAAGATAAAATAAAATAAAATTACTCAATATAAACTATAATATTGTGTGTTTAATATGTTTTTTAAAACAATTATTTAAAAGGATAAATTTAAAAATATATATTATCACTTATAAAAATATAAAAACAAACACTTGTGCGGATGCGCGGGTCAAACAACAAATCTTTCGGTCTTCTTCTGTCAAAATTAAACCCATAAGTAATTTGTAATCACTTACATTTAATTGATACTTTCATTTTATTATTTTACAAATTTCAATCCAATTTTTTTGTATATTAAAGTTTTTATAAAATTTGAACATCAGGCTTTTTTCTTACAAATGTTATAACTAATTTATCATTTTTTTGTATACCATACTAACTCTTATTTCTCAAGAGCTGATGTATCTTTAACCGAAAAATATTTTCAATATATCGTATACATGTTAGATTTGTTTATATAATACCAAATTTTGTGATACAATAAATTGTCAACACACAAAAAAAATACTCAATGTAGTATGTTTAATTTTTACAAAAACATCATTGAACACAAAAAATTAAAAAGATAAAATTATAACCTATACGGTCGAACGGGTGAAGTTCTAGTATTATTTTAAAGTGCAGTCTTGTATTTTTTATAGATGAACCATAAATTCATCTATGCATTGGAGAAACACTTTTTTGTTGTCATCACATTGGAGAAACTTATTACTTATGTCGTCAAAGCATTCTGTTTTTTTTTTTTTTAATGTCAAAGCATTCATTGACTCTGTTTCATAGTTAGGGTTCACTCTTCTGTGTGTATACATTAAAATTGGGGAAGCAGATACTCTGTTTCATATTTATTCTGTAAAAATGGTATATATGATACTTGATCCATACGTAAACACTTTCTCTTCAAAGTAAACAGACTGTATTGAAATAAGAAAAGGTAAAGAATGAAGCAAAAATGTTCAACTAAAATTCTCAATCAGTGACTTCCTTTTTCAAACAATATCACTGAAATCAAATGGAGTATCAGCAGCCAAAGCTGCAGCTTTCTGTTTCTTGAGATCAGATTCTAAATCCGACAAAGACAGCTTTCGTTTCTTGACTTTTTCCTCAAGTAATCTGATCTTTGCCCTAATCTCCTGTTTTCTCTCCTTCTTCCGGAAAGCTTCGTCCAGTTTCTGACGCAACCAATGCAACTTCAAGCCTGCTTTTGTTAGATCCAAAACCGTGTGGTCTGCTTTGTTTAGATCGTCCATTGTTAGCTCTTTAGGTGATTGGCACAGTGTCATGATTAGGTTGAGAAGAACACCCATGTAAGCATTTCTTAGCTGTTGATTCTTTAAACTGAAATCTGATGCCATGTCTGGATGTTTTTCAAATATTGCCATCACTTGGTTTACCTGTGAAACACGCAATGTCCAATCGTTGTTTTATTTGTTTTACATTATTAATATGATATATATATTTTCTTGATTTATCACCTGTGAATCAAGAACCTGAAACCCGTTGACTTCAACAATTTCATCAGCATCGTCAGATGACTTGGACCATTCTTCAGATGAAGAGGAGTAATTCTGCTCGTCATCGCTAGATTCATTACTCTCTGTATTCTTCACCATTGAGACAAAGATAATCACTGATCACTTTTAAGTTTAGAAATGCTTAGTTAAGGATTTATAATTACACTTCAGTTTTGCAGAAAGGAATAGAGACCATAGAGGATATATATATTTGGGGAGATAAGAGAGAGATTTACACAATGCATGCATTTGTTTCTTGATTTTCTTGTCATAATAACAAAATTAATAAATGGTATAACTAACAAGCAATGTGATATTAATGGTGTTCTATCTTTGCCGTGTATTACTATGATGCATCATGCATGCATGTCCAACGATATTCTATAAAGATACAACGATGTAACATAAGTTGAATCATTCCCTCCTCTTTTCAACATTGATATAATGAGGCTTAAATGCATGAAAAAAAAGATAAAACAGACAGTAACATATACCATTCCAGTTTTCTAGAAAAGGTTTTTCTTATTCACCACACGACACATAGCAATTACTTGGTCATAAAGTAACCTAGCTTAAACCGTTTGTTCGCAAAATCCATCGGATATAATGATGCAGATGTATGCCTTAAGTCACTAATGCAGTGCTCTAAAATGCATTCTAGGCGCTCGCATTTTATTCAAACAACATCACATAACCAAGTATGCAAACGAATAAGAACACCAAAAAAGAACCTCCAAGTGCCTGAGAACTCGACAAACGTTACATAATAACATCATCGAATGAGATAGGAGCTATTGCAATCGACAGCTCTAGTTTTTCCTTCTCCAGCTGAGCTTCAAGATCTGAGCACTTCTGCTTCAAATCTTTCAACTCTTCCTCGATTTCTTGCACTCGAATCTCACTAGCCTCCTCTTTCTCCTTCTTTTCCGCCATCTCATCAAGCTTCTTCTCCAACCAATCCAATTTAAATCCAGCATTAGTCATGGATCCAAGTGCAGCATCTGCCTCGTCCAGATCAGTCTTGGAGAGCTCGTGAGGCGACTGGCGCAGAGTCTCAATCAGGCTAAGTAGTAAACTCATGTAACCCGTCCTAAGATTTGGGTTCTTAGTACGGAAATTAGATGCAATCTCTGGATGTCGTTCCAACAAACGGCTCACAAGTTCCATCTGAAAGTGAAAAAAAAAGAAAATATAAAGTAGAATCCATATTGTGAGAGGGCAACACAAAAGGCACAATAATATAGAACACTTAATATTCTTAATTACTAACCTGTGAAGGAAGAAGTTGAAAGCCATTAACATCCATGGTTTCTATTATTGTTGAACTTTCCTCTGTTACGTCTAACTTGCCAAGAACTGCAATAACCTCAATCTCAGCAACAATCTTGAGTTCTCCGTTTACCAAATATCCGCTCTCTTTTGCATGGATCTCATTAAGGGGAAACATGGATACACGACCCCAACGAGGAGACTTCTCATCAAACCACTTCTGTTCATCTGTAATATACACGAATAAGAAGTCCATTTACATTTGAGGCATTGCAAGAAAAACTCTCTTGTGAACTGAAAAACACTGTTCACAACTTTGGCACATAGCTTCAAAACTAATCTAAAGCCATCCTTACACAAAAACACCCTTGAGAAACACAGAGCACTATGGTCTGACATTTTAAAAAAATTAATAAAAGTTTGTGCCCTTAATTTTCATTTAATATTGTAAATAATATCTTAGGTACAACTAAAATTATCGCATAAAAACGTGATGCCTAAGCTTTCACCGAATCGTGCCTGCTAGTACCAAGACAAGCCTATATAAAAACTCGCAAACCAAACACAACTGTGATCCTCTACTGTCACTGAAAACTGAATAATAAAGTAACTCTTGCAAAATAGATCCACAATTGGAAGCAAGAATCACCATTTTGTGTGGAACGTTTTATGGTGTTTTGGTTTACTATACATAGGGAATAACGAGCGTTTCTTCTCCATCCACAGGGTAGTGAATCGTGATCAGCAACTTCAAGAAACAAAAACAAGTAGTCAACGTTGTTTCCCTTGGGATATGCACAAAGACGCCTGCATGCAGCAAAGAATACACAGAGGATCGGCTACACTACTCTATGTGGGAAAATATAAGCATGATGATCTACATGGACGAAATAACTTGAAAGCCTTTACCATTTGCAACGAGCGACTACGAATTGATCAGAACAAAGTTTCTCACATTTCAAAGAGGAGAAGTTCTTAATCGTCCATGTGATCTTCTTTCTAGCTTGCTTCCCCATGATTGTTCTGGAATCGTACTAGCAGAGTAACACAAAGCCAACAGTTTTTAATCTTAGGGTTTACACTCTTGGTATATGTGTCTCTCTGGACCAATTTAGGATATTAGATATAAAAAATGATTTCATTCTATAAAAGCGGAACTAAAAAAAAAAATTTAAAATATTCCAGAAATAATTAGTTTACGATTACAGATCAAACATAGTTTTGGATTTTGTTAAGAAAAAGTTTAATAGATTTAAGGTTTTTTTTTTTTTTTTTTTTAGATTTAAGGTTTTAGGAAGGTTGTTGAGATTCTTTTCATCGAAAGATTTATAGAGCATTTGGTATAAACAACAAAATGAAAATGATATTCTAAGGGATGGCTTCCTTATATATCCCTCTCACAACAAACTCTGTTAATATTTTTGATTGACTATTTGCTTACCGATATTTTAATAAATAACTAACTTTTATTTTAAATTTAAATTTGGATATATATATATATATATATATATATATATATTTAAATATATAATTTTGGATAGATTTTTATATCTATTTTGATTAAAATATATTAAATCAAATTATATAAAATTAAGAAAAAAGTTGTTAAAAACAATATTTTCAATTATCAAAAAGTAAAACTAAAGAGTATTTCAAAAATTTGTAAATATAAAAAGAAACTGATGTATTACAATTAGAATTTTAGAATTGAAATATTGCATAAAATTTTGAAGAAATTTTAGTGATAAGAAATTGTATAGTTATCAGAATACAATTAAGTAACGTTTTTTTGTTATTTTGTAAATTTTTTTTTTTGTTATTTAGTGTTGTTATACTTTAATAGATCTAACTTAGTGATGATGGAAGAATTACTACTATATTCTAAACATATTATATTTTTCGAAGAAAACGAATGTGGTGATAACACATAATCAAATTTCAAAAAGATCGTTTCTCAGATAAATATATAGAAAACTTCACATTAGGATTAAAATTTTTAATTTTCGTTCAAATATATATTTTGGCTAAATAAAACTATTAAAGTCGGATTTATTAAAGACACATACATATAAGCTCCAGATGGAGTTACAGTCCACGAATGGACTTTCTCCTATGTATTCAAATGGGCCGAAAACAATAATCTATATCTATGTGAATACAAAATAAAATGTAATAGGATGTCTTCAAATCCAGATTGCTTAGCAATCCCAAGGTTTTTCAACCACTATATACTACCACTTAGTGGTTAAATTTCGTTCAATTATTTGATCTGGGGTTTAAGAAACATCGATAACCCATCCAAATTTAACTTATGTCCGACCGAGCAGACCCAAACATATATCTTTTATGAAAAATCTTTCTCTACCGTGAGTGTTTAGATTTGCACGTGAATTTTTCTCTTGATACTTTGATTTTTTAGAGTTGGATCGGAATCCATTTAGCAATGGGGATTCTCTACTCTCGTTGTTTCGGGGATAGTAATGGTTATATTAATTTAGATTCTTTTTTTTTCTGATAACCATGGAAAATTCCAAGCGGTAAGCCCAGACTAATCCCCACGAGACATTCCATCCGGTATTAATTTATATTATGCATGGTAAAGAAATGATGCAGAAAAAACCTTCACTTGATTTCATATTTACCAGATTTACAAGTTTATGAATTTAACAAAAATTCAGATTTCACAATTCAAGCTACAAATTAAACAAAACATATAACTACAAAGCTAAAACAGTAATGAGAATTTTGTCTCTCTCATTTCAGACTTGACACACCAAACTCAAGAATGACATTAGGCGTGTTCGTTTCATAGACACAGATTCTAGCAGTGGCGAAAATTTATACCACGACGAGACTAAAATACCAAAATTAAAAGTTGCAGCAGGCCCTACTAGATTGCTGGAGACAAAAAAACGGGATGCTTGTGTCGCAGATAATTTCAGCGTCCTTTCTTCTGGTTGTTAGTTGCCGCTGCGACTGGAAATTGGTCAACGAGATCTCACCGGTGGTTTGTATTACCGTGATTAAAGGTTGAATTTTTGGACGCGCGGCTAGACTCGACGGTTATGAAACAAACACGCCTATTACTGTTTACCTTCAAGATCGGTTTAGGTAGAGGGACAAAGAGGCGTGACCAGGTTGAGAATAAGGAGCTAAATATCTTGAAATATCCATAAATATATGTAAAAAAATTGTTAAACTATTTGGCCCAAGGATCTTTGATATTATTGAGTCGGCCCTGTTTACCTTTTCCATCAAGAAACAGACATGGACCCGGTGCAATAAAATAAACCTAGAGAGACCTCAGAAACATACAGACCTAAACACCTAGAGTCATAAACTTCTCTGAAACTTGAGAATGTTCGAAGAATGCTGATTCGTTCTCTCTCTCGAATATCAATTTCCCTAATGTGTATGTTCTATTCTTGGAAACAGAGCATATAGACTTATCTAATAAGGCTGAGCTATTCGTATCATTCTTTTCTTCACTTCATCTCTTTGCTATTTACAAAAAGTGTCTTTTATCCAAACCATTCATGTCAGAGCTGTGCAGAGATCATGGGGCTGTCGGTGATTTAGTAAAAATTTAAATATTTTATTTTTTTACAAATTTGGGACCTGACTATGTAAATTTATTCAAAACAATTTGGAAACAATAGATGAAGGTTTCATTCGGCTTTGTCTAGGACCTGACAAGAATTTCTTGTAATTAGGTAACGCTAAATATTCTTAAGCACTTGAGAAGAAACCTATAAAACATGTAGGCGTCTTCACTGGTGAGCTTTATTCAAACAACATCCTCAAAACCAATTCGGGCACTGTCGGAAACGGCTTCGTTCTCTTCATTCTTTAGTTCAACTTCAAGCGCAAGCAACACTTGTCTCTGTTCCACAATCATTCTATCGAGTTCTCTCATGCGTTCACCACGTGTTTCCATTTTCTTCTTCTTCACGAAAAGCTCCTCCAGCTTCTTCTTCAACCAATCCAACTCAAAACCTACCCCTACTAGATCCAAAAGCGTGTTCTCAGCATCTACTAGTTCCTCCTCTGTTAGCTCCTGAGGAGCTAAGCAAGCTATATCTATGAGGTCGAGAAGGGTGCTCATGTACGCATTCTTCACCAACTGATTCTTTGGACGAAGATTTAAAGCGGTTTCAGGGTGTCTTTCAAAGATTCTCCTTACACATTCCACCTGAGAACAAGTTTGATGTAAAAAGCAAACCAACTAAAGTGATTATTGTGTTATTGTGTTATTGTTCTTACCTCTGTGTAGTAAACTCGAAAGCCATTGATCTCAACTGTTCCATCACCGTTCCACATTGATACGATCTGAGTTTTTTTGTGATACAGAGAAGCTTTACTTGCAGATTAGGCAAATTGAGTTTTGTGTTTTGAGGATTGTCTTATTGTAACTGAAATATATATTCAAGAAGATGCATGCATCATAAATAAACTTAAGCTAACTGTAACTTAATATTATCTTGTCATAATTAATATCATATGAATATTAATTGCGTCACACGTCAAGGTACTTATTTGAAAAAGTGGCTCTATACTCTGTTCCCATGTTAGAAATATCGGTAGGCGGTTATTGTTTTGCCTATAAAGCGTCAGTACTCAGTACATAGGTGGACGTCTAAGCACCGCGTAGACCAATTTTTTGAAATAAATTTTTTAAAAATTGTTTTCACTACAACTGATTTTTAGAACAATGCTCTATTCAGACAGCTAGAGATATTACTTTTCCACCAAGAAACTCGTTCTTCTTAGTTACCAAAACACCCTGTCACTAGCAAAACCTTAATTCAGATACCTAAGAATATAACTCATCAGAAAATATCATCATCAGACAAAAAGAGAGGAGCACTTGCAGAAAAAACCTCTGCCTTCTCAGTCTCTAGCTGAGCTGCAAGGTCTCAGCACTTCTGTTTCAAATCCTTTAACTTTTCCTCAGATTTTTGTATCTTAATCTTACCAGCTTTCTCTTTGGCCTTCTTTTCTTTTATTTCGCCAAGTTTATTCTCCAAGCAATCCAACTTAAACCCTATACTTTTCATGTGTTCAAGAGTAGTTTCTGTATCAGACAGATCGCTATCAGAGATTTTCTGAGGTAACAGGCTCAAAGTCTCAGTTAAGCTGAGTAGGACATTCATGTCTGCTGTCTTCAGAAGTGGGTTATTTATACGGAACTTTGATGCAATGTATGGCTGTCTTCTAAACAGACCTTTGACCGATTTGACCTAGTAGAGAGCAAAGAAAAATGTGTAAAGTAAAACCATATTAATTAGTAGTTTACAAACCATATCTGTATGCGTACCTGTGATGGAAGAAATTGGAATCCATTGATAACTTGGAGAACATCTATCTCCGCAACAATTTGATTTCTTCTTCCAGCAGAAACCCAAGGGTGTTTGCATGACCAGAAAACCACAACGGGGAGTCTTGTGATCAAACCACTGTTGTGTTACTATAAAACCACAAAACAAAATTTCATCTCATAAGTGTTACATGGTTGATATAAACCAGTTATTGAATATCAAAAAAAAATATGGTAAACCATTCCCCAGAGAGAGAATGTGAAAGTCTGGTGGCCACATGCTGTGTTAATCTGAGTGTAGGCAAATTCGAACTCAGGTCCCGTAGAATCCATGGAACGCCATACTACCACCCGACCACATATACATGGTTTATTATTGAATATCAATTGTCCCCAAAACTTCATAGATTGGGAAGCAGCACCAGTTCATTCGCTTTGACCCTAAATACATCGGTTGCATGACTGATGACCCCAAGTTATCATTTTTTATTAAGATTAACGTTTGGCTTTGATTGATGACATGAGTTACCATTGATTTTTTTTTGAGTTAGGGGCATAACTCAACAATGTTACCATTCATTGTAACTTATATTATAAAGTAGACTTTTTTTTCTCAATAGGGACAAAAAATGCCATGTCACCTTCTTTTAATGATGTTTTTATATTTATTATATTTAACCAATTTTAGTTTACTTAATGAACCAATAAATTCTAATAATAATTTAAACATTAATTAAAACAAATTTTCTATTTCATTATTATTGTTTTAGTTTTCTTATGTGACGACAATTTACAAATAATTTAATATATATTTTTACTTATGAACAAATGATATATATAAGTTAATGTGATTTTTTTTACAATGTACTTATATTTAGTTTATTTTTATTAGTGTTATATATGCATTTATATTGTAATGGTGATATATGATTTATTAGTTATAAAATATTTCAAAAAAATTTCTAAAATAAAATATTTATACATCTCTTATATAATAAAGTAGAGTTTGTTTCTCTCCATAGAGGCAAAAGATGATACTTGTCATTCTATCATTTGTTGAAAGTGTTTTAGGTCCAACTATAAAAATCTTTTATTTTATTTTAATTTTTTATTTATTTTACAAATGATATGATTTTAAAAAAATATTTTTAGTCCAGTAAACTAAAAAAAAAAACACTTTCTCTTTCAACATATTCTTCAAGATGGATGACAACTTTCATATCTCTAAATATGAAATATCTAAATTAATATCCTTGATTCTTAAATCTATTTTCTCTATTTTAAAATCAATATCTTTGATTCTTAAATCTATTTTCTCAATATCCTTGATTTCCAACAGATTTCCGTAAAATAAGAGTTTAGAAGAAAAGAAAAAGCTCCAACAAGAGTCAAAACAAAACGAGGAAAATCTGAATTACACAACAATTCTGAAACCGAAAGTACAAGAAAATAAAAATAAAATAAAAATCATTTTGAAATCAATATCTTATCTATTTGCTCGATTTTAAAATCATATGATTTATCAAAGATTTGGATATCCTTGATTTTCGTAAAAATCTATTTTCATATTGAAATCAATATCCTTGATTATTAAATCTATTTACTCAATTTTAAATCATATGATTTATCAAAAATTTCTAAATGCAATTTTTTTTTCTAAATCCATGAAAATAGTTGAATCAATAACCCCCACTAAATGTTATAACATGTTTACTATAATTATTCAAGAATTAAACTTGTATTAATTATCAAAATGTCATGAAAGCATCTGTAATGCGTGTAAACTTACAAAAAGTTCAGTATGTAATTTTGTTTAAAACTATCAAGTATTATAGACTCAGTGTAGTAGCATTATTGTAGTTATGAATGATTATATTACAAATTTAGTATACACTACTTTAATATATGATTGTTGGCAAAAATAAATATACAATTATGTTTTTAGAAAAAACTAAAATTTTAAACAAAACTAATAAATATAAAGTTATATAAATTTGAATTATTAGGTATGATATTTTATAGTTTTTGTTCAGTAAATTGGAGAAAACTATTACCCGCTTCAAGATCAAAAAGAAAATTTTATTAAAAAATACTATAATAGACATTGTCAGAAGTTTGAAAAATAAAACAATTACCTATACAAATACATTATTAAATACATCAGTTTGTCAAAAAGTAGTTCATCAAACAATAAACAAGCTATCCCATCTAGACATTACAGTTTTTGATCAAATATCATGTAAATTAGTTTAAAATCTTAGCATAATTAAAACAGAAAATATATAATATCTACTGTCAATATTAGTTTGTTTACAATTTAATAATTTAAACCTCATTTTATGATTGATGTTTTAAAAAAAAGATATATAGGTATTATATATATATATTCAAAAAATAATATAATAAATTAAATTAAACTAAAATTTATATAAGAAAACCCGGGCGTAGCCCGGGAAAACCACTAGTTATTTTTAAATTTTTGAGTTATTCTTTGAGTTAGAATGTGATATATATGAATTACAATTTTGAGTTATCCCTTTGAGAAAATTGATAACTCAAATATTAACTCAACATCAACAAAATTTCATGTATTAGAAAGTTGACTTAATATGTTTTTGGTTTTAGGTCAGTTATCCTACGGTTACATTTTAATTTTTAACAATTTTAGTTTTCTTTACTATATGCATGTTGTCTCACGTTTGATTTTTTTCATAGATAAAGCATTTTCAAAATCTTACATAAATGTTTACTGGTTAGGCAAATTTTATCTATCATTTTCATTTAAATTATGTAAAATTGTTCTATAATTTTAATTGCTAATTCTATTTGATAATTAAAGTTTTGCATAAATAAAATTATATGTAAATATACATAGGTATCTTTTGTTAGCATAATTACATAAATATATTACTATACCTAATTTTATTTAACTTATAATTAATGTTATTATTATTGATAAATTTTAATATTATTGATATTTATAATTTTCTTTTACACAATATATCATGCAACTAATACATCAAAAATGTTACACAATTTGAAAAACGAAATAATACATTAAGCATTAAACATGTATATTAAAATATAAAATATAGATATTAATTAAATATATATTATACGAAAAATAATAATAAATACACAATTTAAAAATTAGAAAAGGTATTAAACATCTATCTTCAAATGTAGAATATATATATTAAGTAAAATAAATTGAAATATTCAGTAGAAAGAAAAATAACTGATAAAGAAATACACAGTTTTAAAATGAAAATAGTATATTAAAAAGTAAACATACATTTAAATATGTAAATATAGATATTAAGTAATATATAGTACACCAAAATAATGATAATAAGTAAATAATCAATTTAAAAACTGAATATGAACACTTAGCACTACACATCTATCTTAAAATTTAAAATGTAGATATTAAGTAAAATAAAGTATAAGAACTAGAAATACACAGTTTAATGAAAAATAAATAATAAATAAATACAAAATTTAAAAATTTAAATATAATATTTAAAAGTATACATTTAAATCTGTAAATATATAATATTAAAAATATACAATTTAAAAAAAAAATTGGAAAGGTACATTAATTATTAAACATGTATTTTAAAGTGTAAAATATAGATATTAAGTAAATAAACTATAAAATGGAAATACATAGTATAAGGAAAAATAAATAATAATTGGGAAATTGCCAGAAATAACACTTTCAAGATACCACTTTTCAACTTTACACTAACCAACTTTACCATTAAAATTTTAATACTCAAAATACTATTAGAATTTAGGGTTTAGGGTTTTGGGTTTAGGATTGATAGTTTAGGGTTTAGTGTTGATTTTTAGGGTTTATGGTTTACTTTTTAGGGTTTAGAGTTTAGGGTTTAAGGTTTAGAACT